ACCTGTAACAAACTTGTTACTTTGTGGATGAATTGTACTAAGAACAGGCAAGTTCACCGGTAACATCAAGGGCTCATCAAGGATACTCAGCCATAACGGGTGTTACGGGTTACAGCCCTTAATGACAGCCCTGGATAGATGGTGATGTTCACCAGTACCTGGCTACTATGGACAAACCAGTTAATTATTTCTCTATGCCACTGAATGATAAAATTAATGAAACTTACTATCTTCTAAGAAGTTCTGGTGGGTATTTGTTCCTGGGATCTCTTGTTTCTGTATCATTTCTGTTTCGTTGTTCCAGGAGAAGGCGATGTTCAATGTAAACATCTAATGCATCCTTTACTTGAACCTGTCAAGACACGAGTTGATGACAATGATAATTGGGTAATTATAAATGTTAGTATATAGTTCTCTTAACTAATCTTTTCTTCAAATTCTACTGTCAGTGCTTCATACCAAAGCATCATAGCAACCATTAGAAAATACATGTAGCACTGCAAACCCTTTCTGATGGAGGAAAAAGTCTGAAAGTATCATATATTCATAGTACCTCTCTCTCCTTGTAGTCTGGTAACATTTCAAACACAGCATCTTCAAATAGCTGTTTGTAACGTCGAGCGTTCTCCACTATGTTTTCTGCTAACTCTGGATCAATCTGCAAGAAAAACACCAAAGTGACAGGTTAACACCAATACATAGCAATGTTGTTGTCCTGATATACTGTTTGCTGCACTTCATTTTGCACTGAAATGGCGTTTTGCATACCATACAAAATCTGACAATTTTGTTTGTGGCCCTTTAAACAAATTTCTTGCCCTCGCACGTCTTTTGAAGATGTTTTATTGGTGTCTGAACTTATTTTTTTAGGACTAAGAAAGTCTAGTAGTTGCAAAAAGCTACACTGTAGTTCCGCTGTCTTACAAAGCCTCAAACAGGCATGACCATCAGCCACCCCTATGTGTGCATAAGATGATTTGGTCAACATCGCAAAGTTGAGTTCTTGGGAAAGACAGGAGTACAGTACCATACAAATGATCACCACCAAATTCTTTCGACATTCTGACAAAAAGGCTTGGGGGTTACGTTGCAATGTAATTCTTCCAGCTTTCCAGAAGGGGTAGAATCAAATTCCTGAACTGGATTACACTCTTTAAGAACTATTAACGGCAATTTGAATTATATGCAAACTTCCTCACGGTAGTTGAAGTACCAAAAAACCCTTGCAAGTGAAGATTCCAGGCAGGAGCAAATTCATCTTTTTAAAGCTGCTATTCAATTTACATGAAATTGCAGATGTAATTAAGTTTATGTACGCTATCATGTAATCCTTACCTCAGCGATGTCATCAAGTTCAATTAAGAGCTCTACTTGTTCACGGTGGGCAATTTTAACCTAGCGAAACAAAAACTGGTGAGTTGTATAAGCGAACCCTGGAAAATGTGCTAAATTGTGGCAATGCAAATTCAAAATGCAATCGACACATGCGATTTGCACGAGTGTTTTCGTTAACTTAATCGAGAATTCTTCGAGAAGAAAGCAAAAGATCGTCAAGAATTTACAGAAGTCAAAGCACAGAGGCTTAGCAATTGGCGCTCACCAGTTGTTCTCCATACTTAAAGATCTTTCCACCATCTCCATCGACGTAGAATTCGGCCAAAAACCGCTTCGCGTTGTCTGCGACAAGAACGGTACAAAACGGCATAAATTAAATCAAAACTCGCTTCTGAAGTTACCAAAGCTAAAATGCAACCAACAAAACAGACCAATAAACTTTCCAATACCTTTTTCTGCTTGGTAATCCGGCATATTTGGTGGAGACTGCAAATTTTGACGAAACCAACGTGCTGTGAGTGAAAGCGATAAAAATTATAATCTACTCGGAAAGCGTCTTCTAGCATGTGACAAATTTGGCGCGAAAACCCTACGGCCTTGGTGAACTGTGGGTAGAATATACAACGCGCGTAGACTGGTAACCAGGAGAAGAGGAAGATGATGACAGGCGACCGAGCTGATCATCAATGTCGGTTGCAGTTTCTCGATCTGCAAGAACGAGTTCTTCCAGAGGTTAGAATAAGCGACAACTTCGCTATCCGCACTTGGAAAGTAAGAGCTACATTTGCGTTTCATACTAACCAGTGATAATAAGTGTGGACCGAGTTCGCAGAGTTGTGGACTTGG